TTCTGTTCTCTCTTGTTGGTATGTATTGCTTAATGACACGACATTGATATTAATATATTTTATATTACTAGTGTCACAACAATTATATTATTGGTATTATTGTTAAAAATCTAAAGTGATTAGAAATTGATATCTCAGAATATTTCTTGAATGCAAAATATTTTTTCACAAATCATAGAACTTTTTTGTGTGTATTTTGTATTGTTTATTTTGTGACTTATTACCGTATCAATAAAAAAGATAAGCACTATTTTTAAATTTGAAAACCAATTGTATCGATCGAAAATTATTTTTTTATAATATTTTTATAAACACTTGCCCTATTGTTATAGTTGCAAATATGTCCCACCAGCAAACGAAAAAAAACGAAAAGTTGGGGATGAAAATAGAAGTTTTAATGAAAAATAGAAATTGGATTATTTTTTCACTCTGGTGAAAGATAAAGCTGTTTGCCTTTTATGCTCAAAAATTCAGTCTCCGTCTTAAAGGAATATAATATTAAACGGCATTATGAGACAAAACATGAGACAAAATATAAAAACATCCAAGGCCAAATGCGGAAGGATCAATTGAATCAGTTGGAGAAAAGTTTAAAATAACAACAAAATATATTCAAAGTTCAAAGATTTTCATCAGAGTTGGCAATGAAAGCTAGTTACACTGTTAGTCAAATTTTAGCCAAAAAGATGAAACCATTTGCTGACGATGAGGTTATTAAGGAATGTTTAACTGCTGTTGCAGAAATATCTTCTCCTGATAAAAAGGACATTATTTCCAAAATTAGTTTGTCAAGATTTACAATTGGAAGAAGAATTTGAAGACCTGTCCGAAAACATAATTGCAACTTTAGGTGAACGCATTCACAAATTTGAATGATGTTCCTTGACACTTGATGAAAGCTGTGACATCAGCGACAAATCACAACTAGCGATATTTGTAAGAGAAATCGATTCGAATTTTAATATAATTGAAGAACTAGGTTCATTGATTCGAATGGAGAAAGGAACTACAACAGGTAAAGACCTGCACAATGAACTAAAATCGATGTTGGAGAACTTATCAATTCTATTGGATAAAATTGTCGGCATATCAACCGATGGAGCACCAGCAATGGCAAGCATGAATGGAGTTCGTTCGCGGGAACGTTATTTAATGATATTAAAAACTTAACAGGGAGAGAAATATTTGTTAACCATTGCATAATTCACTAACAGAATCTTTGCGCAAAAATTTTAAATATACTCAATGTCACCACGCCTGTAATAAAACTTATTAATTTTCTTAAATCTCGAGCGTTAAATCACCGCCAATTTAAAGAATTTTTAAAAGATTTGGGAAGTGAATATGGTGATGTAATTTACAACACAGAAGTGCGTTGATTGAGTAGAGATGCTATGCTAAAAAAAATATATAACTTAAAAAATGATATTCAATTGTTGTGTGAAAATGAAAGAATATCCGTTTCCCCAATTCGAAGATAAAGAATGGATATGTGATTTTGCCTTTCTGGTCGATATAACTCGGCATTTGAATGACTTAAACATAAAACTTCAAGGAAAAAGCCAGTTTATTCATAACATGTTTGATAAAATTAATGCTTTTGAAAGCAAATTCAAAATTTGGAACAAACATTTGTTGTCAGACAACACGTCACATTTTGCACATTTAAGAAAATAAACTCCTTCAGAAACCCGAAAATATGCCCAGCATTTACAAAAATTAACAACGGAATTTGAATCGCGATTTGAAATATTTAGAGTAGAAAAAACCGTTCAGTTAAATGTTAATAAAAAATGTTAGTTTTAATATTTTTTTCTTCACCATTTAATATAGACGTGGAAAGAGTCCGGATAAGTTACAAATGGAATTAATAGATTTACAAAACGACACGAGACGACATTTAGGAAATAAATTTCAAAATGTTGACATACATAATTTCTATCAAAATTATATGAATTTAGAAAAATTCCCACGATTAGGCGCATATACAAAGCAAATAATGACACTTTTTGGAAGCACCTATGTTTGCGAACAATTATTTTCTGCAATGAAAATAATTAGAAGCGATCACCGATCGAGATTAAATGATATACGGTTAGAAAGCTGTGTGCGAGTTGCTGTGTCGTCTATATCTGCAAATATAGACCATTTGATGACAAAGAAGCAATGCCAAATTTCTCATTAAATAATCTTTCTCCACATATATCTTTCGCCGTTTCTTTTAATAGTATTTCTATTAATGAGTGAATAATCTCCTCCAACAGATAATAAAAAGCAGAATCATCCATATACAGATAATTTCTATAATTATAAGCTTCAGTTATCTTTACTTCTTTTAATAATACAAAATTGGAAAATCCATTCCTCTGGATTAACCATCTTTTTGTCAATTTCTTTTTAGTATTTAATTTCTTTCTATTTTTTGTAAGTAATAATAAACCTTTTTTTTTACGTGGATCTTCATAAGAAGATCTTCATTACGAAATTCTTCATAAGACACCTGAGTCTTTTAAGAGAAGACCTAGGTAATGTCGGAGTTTTACCGACTAAAACACCTTCACGATGGCCGCCGTCCTCCGCACGTTGGGAGAGCTCCGGGATCTTTTTATACACACAGAGCTCTCTCGTGCTGTTATCCTAAAAGACAATGTCTTTTTTTTTCGCCCAAACAGGGGCTCGAAGAACTCTGGACCCTCAGATTAAGAGTCTGAGGTACCGACTGAGCTATCCCCACCTCAAGTAATAATAAACCTACTGACAGTAATATCAGAGCTGGAAAACGAGCCAGCATTTTAAAACACGTGTTTAAATGTGTTTAAACGTTGGCGTCGCACGGAAAACTGAAGAATCAATGTGTGGAGGCAAACTGATTCTGATGCAGGTTTCATAAAACCTAGGAGTTGATGCATGCATCGCAGCATATTTCAACGTCTGTGGGGGCCTTTAGACAAAACCTCGAAAAATGTTTACTGCGACTAGTTCAGATACTTAGATTTTATCAGCTAATACACCATAGACGTTAGACATATACAGGGCGACAAGAATAAGGTAGCCGACACCTTGTCACGGGTGACAGCAGTATCACGTCCAGCCGATCATTCTGCACTAGAAAAGGGACAGAAACAGGATCATGAATTGAAGAAAATTTTAACATCTCAGTCATGCACGCTACAACTCAGGAAAGCTCACTTCCCTGAGGTAAATGTATATTTATATTGCGATACAACGAGCGATACTGTGAGGCCATATGTTCCGGAGAGCCTCAATTCGTTACACGGTCTCTCCCACCCAGGAGTACGTGCAATGCAAAAATTACTTACTCACCGGTACGTATGGCCATTCATAAATAAAGACTATCGCTAGTGGCCAAAGCACTGCGTCCCGTGCCAGCGTGCAAAAGTAACGAGGCACTTTTTTTTTTACGTGGAGGAAATTTTCATAAGACACTTGAGAGTCTTTTAAGGGAAGACCCAGGTAGTGTCGGATCTTTACCGACTAAAAAACCTCCACGATGGCCATCCTCCGCATGTTAGGAGAGCCCGGGACCTTTTTATACACACAGAGCTCCTCTCCCGTGCTGTTGTTCTAAAGGACAATCTCGAACAGGGGCTCGAACTCTGAACTCTCAGATTGAGAATCTGATGCTCTATCAACTGAGCTATCCCCATCTGGTCGGACTTCTACCTACTCGAAAGGGTATATTACCACTACTCGCGTTGGCCCGAGGAAGTCCCAATCTCGGAAATTGATGCGGAAACCATCGCAAGAACGTTCCTTTCTACGTGGATTACGTGCTACGGAGTGCTACTCCGAATTACAAAAGATCAAGGCCGTCAATTCAAGTCGCAATTCTTCAATGAGTTAACGTAATTAATCAGGGCCTCACATTTAAGAACGACCACGTACCATCAACAGGCGAACGACATGGTGTAAAGATTTCATCGCCAACTGAAAGCAGCAATCAAATGCCACGAAACAGAGAAGTAGATAGAGATGTTACCTGTCATTCTACTCGGGATCCGCACCGCAATAAAAGAGAATTTGAAGACCTCAGCCGCAGAAATTGTCTACGGTAGGGGAATTCGCTTACCCTAAGAATTTTTCACGAGCCATAGCAAGTTAGCTCATTCGGACTTTACGAAGAGATTACACGAAAATATTAACAAGATCAAATCAATACTGGGAATCCGACACGAGTCGCGAAAAATTCAAAGAACTGAACTCAACTTGGGTATTCCCCGTTAGACGGCCCTTTTAAAGTTGAACGTGGCGACAAAACTTTCACCATCGACATCTACGATAGAGTCTCCATAAACCGATTAAAACCCGTAGGCGATAAAAATCTTTCCACCAATGAATCACACAACAAACCACCCCAGGAACCAACTGACGGACCGACCAACAACGAACAGCTACCACCGACTGACAAGACGACGAAAAATAAAAAAGACACGATCTGGCAAACGCGTACGGTTTCCGGATCGATTTCAAGCGGGACTAGAGAGTCACATAAGTATACAAAAAGTGCATACTCCGCCACATCTGACGATCGGTAGCGTTAACAATGATAAGGGGGTGATGTAGGGGACGCATTCAGTTGGCTTTAATCCTACGACCAGGGCTAATAAATAAAACTATAATGTGAGGCACGCGTTCTTGAGCAGTACTGTCAGTCCCATAAAGTAATAGCAAATATCAGCCCCTGATCGGAAAGGAAAGAGAGTCGGGTATATAAGGCCCGACTCCAACACAGAAAGGCAGACAAGGTGCGCCAGTGCTAATGTAAGTGCGTTGAATCCATAACGTTGCTTCCCGTCTGTGAACTGGATTTCGAATTCGTGATTCTAAAAGTCATATTTAAATACTTTAGCTTCGATCAGAATTTACAAACATTGTAAACATATAAAGGTTAAATCAAAATATAAATTTGAAATATTCCAAGGAAAATGAAGATAAGAAATTATATATTTTATTTTTCGATACTTCCGATATTATTCGACGATGACAGAAAGACAAGCAGTTTGAATATGAATATGAACGTACTATGCAAAGACGAAAAGGAGTCAGAAAGGACTGCGATTCTGATGGTTGTTAGAAAATCAACGTTTCAAGAATATTTATAAATTTCGAGAACAGAAGTGTCTTTAATTTCTCACTTGCTATATAACGTAAAAATATCTTCAAAGAAACAAAGCTTCACGGTCATCAAAGCAAAAGCTTTATATTTGAAAAAGAACTTAAGTAAACATGATTTTTTTCACGAACTTATAATAAGACTTATATTTTTTATTATTTTAAAAATTTGTTCAAATTTAATACCCAAGTGGGATTATTTTACATTTTGGAATTTATTTGATCGGATAATAATAACACTCACTGTAATTTTTAGTATCTAATATATCGCACTATCATAATGTTACGTTATGTCAAAGACAATTGAACAATGCTAATATAATAATACACGGAACCTGCGCGCGGATCACTGCGCAGAAATATGTTCAAAAAAAGAAAAACTTGATGCACTGCACTGTCGGTTGCGTGCGTCTCTCTGTATTCATGATAGATATTTGCCATTCCCTGATTAATTATGATTTTGTTGTTCGACAATCTGTTGTTCCTGCTCCTGGATTTTTTTTTCTATTTTTATTTTTTCATTCATGACTAATTTTCTACAATATAATTTAATACAATTTAATATATTTATTACATAATTTAATGCTCGATCCTATGAATCAATTGAATAAAAAACATATTATTTATTTACTTGATTGGTGCAAATGTTTCGTTAGAAAGACATGCTGACCCTCATCGAGTATTCCATTTCACGCACCCAGATTTCTATTGTAGAATCTATGTAGATTCTATTGTAGAATCTGTGAATGCGTCAAATGAAAACTTCGATGCGGGCCAGTATGCTTTTGTAACGAAAACATCTGCACCAATCAAGTAAATAATATATTTTTTATTCTCTTTTCAATTGATTCATAGAATTGAGTATTAAATTATATAATAAATATATTAAACTGTATTAAATTATATTGTAGAAAATTAGTCGAAGATGAAAAAATAAAAAAGATAGAAAGAAAAACCCGGAAGCAAAAACAACAAACTGACGAATCGCAAATCGTATGATCCATTGAGGAATGGCTAATATCTATCATGAACACAGAGAGATACACGTAACCCGACAGTGCAGTGCATCAAGTTTTCTTTTTTTTTTT